TGAGACGAGTTTCTCTGACGTTCCTTAGAGAAGCCACTGTATTGACTTTAAAAAAATTACCGTAAAAATGCGTTATTTCCATAGCAATAATGCTAAGAGTTCAAACTCTTTTCAGGGTAACCATAGTTCATTACAGTCTACATGATGCAGATTGTCCTGAGTCAAATGCAATTAATCTGTTTGAGGACATTTTTCATGAGCTCAAAATCATTTTTTTTTCAATAGTTCATATTTAGATGAATTCAACTGAGAATTATGAAAGAATAATCTCGAAAAACTTAAGTTCACTATACTTAATGTTTTTCAGTTTCATTTTTGGATAGTCATCGATTGTTCGAATTGAATGACTTCTATCAAAACGGACGTATATTTTTTGTTTTCATATATTATTTTCAAACAAGTGGAAAAAGATTTTTAAACTTACTCTTTTATAACTAGCTCGTGTTAATGTATGAAATACATTGAGTAAACCAGATTGATCAATGAGAACGCAATCATCTTGAATAAATAAATTATCAATAATTTTTTCATTTGTTAACGAACAACATTGAGATGATAAAAAATCATTTTCCGCTTCAATATAGAAAAACAAAAAATTTGAAATTTCAATTTTTTAAAAATTAAAAACCAAACAATCTTACTCAATGCAACTAAAACAATCCGAAATACTTGATAACTATTCATCTGTTTATTTATTTTTTTTGTATGTAATAAATAAGCTAATAAAAATGTTGGCATAGCACCTTCAAATGAACCAAATCCCTATAATAACGAAAATATTGTTTTCTTTTCTTATTAAATCAAACATTGTCTGTGTGTTTTTTTCATTTACATGTGATAATTGTCGTTGTTCTAACCAAATTTTGAATAATTTCAATCCATTACATAATTCATTTGAGGATAAAAACAATTTATTTAAATAATCTGATGTTGATCGATAACGGCAATCAAATAGAATAGATGAATTATAATTTGGTGTTGAATAAAATGGTTCTACTTCATCTTCATTATCATTAAACCATTTCCATCGAAGATTACTTGATGTAGGTAACAAACGTTTTTCATTAAAATAATCTTGTTCTGGTGCAAGTAAAATTCGTATTGCAAATGATGATTTTTCTAAAATGATTAAAAGATTATAAAAATTTTGTAAAACATGATCTAAAAGGAGTGTTGAAGGATAGAGGTAAAAATTTTGGAGCGGGACTCAGTTTATGGAACATTTTTCAGATCCGAATACGGACGACACCTGTATTCATAACATTCTGAATAAAATTTTCTCATCCATCTTGATAGTCACTCTGACGATAGAAGGTGCTTTTTTTGTTTATTTAAATTTAACAACTAGCACGTCGTACACATTTCTCATAGCATCTTAACGATGATCATATAAGAATGATCGATAGTTAAATATTACTTTTAGAGCAGCAACTTTCGAGTCCGATCCGGCGGGTTCTATGCGAAACAGTTCAGAATTCCGAGAAATCTCATTTGTCTCGTCCCGTAAGATATTCGAGATTAGTACATTTTGAAAATAAAACCGTACGGGACAAACAGAATTCCTCACATCACAGCTCGTGACGGTCCGTATATCAATAAAGTCTCGTTATAATATATGAACTACTTCATTACAGTATTTCTAGACGATTAAGTAGAAGGCTCGTAAAGAAATGTACCCCAAAATAGATGAAATAAACAATTTCTCTTGTAGTTAGCAGCAACAGCTACATCGTGTTTTCTCGCTCTAATCTTGCAACGATTGTCCTAAAAGCTTATTAAAAGATCTTTATTTATTTACCATTTGACCTAACGATTAAAACAGCTTGATTAAGTGTTGTATCATTTAAATGTGAAAATTCTAATGAATATTTAAGTCTTTTTGCCATATAACAAAGATAAATAGCACGTTTTTCGATATATTCATTATTAAGATAATCTTTTTTATGAATACAAATACGTGGAATTTCAACAAGTAAATCAATCATTGTTGATATTTTGTTTGATGATTTAACTATTATACCATCATAAGTATATGAACCAATTACTTGAATAATTGTTGGTGGAATAAATTGAAATTTTTTCTTCATTTTAGAAAATGATAAAGGAATTTTTATGTCGAATTTCTCAAGCCATTCAGACATTTTTGATAGCTAATAAGTATAAATGATTGAGTATGCAAGGAAATTAAAAAAATATATATATATGACTTACATGTCGAATTTTTCCTTGAGGGATCGATTTAAGTTCATTTGAAACTTCTTCAATGAATTGATCAATTTCAATACGTTGATTTTCTTTTAATGTTACTTCATTTAATAATGCATTTACCTTAAATAGAAACGAAAATTTAATATAAACTCCAGAGTGAATAATTGAGCTGATGTTTCTGAGAAATCTGATTTTGTCCTTTCCAATACATATGTGACAAGCTCATTTCAGCTTTTGCAACCACAAATGGAGCTCTCATAAACCAATTGGATAAGATGAAAAGGATATTGAATAACAGATCTCATATAACAGGAGTCGATCATCAAATCTGCTTATATGAAAAAAAACTGAGCATTAGACTCTACTCACTTAAAAACACTTGATCAATAGTGGAGATATGCAGGGTAAGCACTTTTCGTACTTTGTGTTATGACTGAGTAAGATTTTCTAATTTTTATTCTACTCTACACATCACTAGTCGATAGGCTCGCTCATATAAAGAAAAGAGTTAATCATCAATAGTTTGATTCAACTCTTTCAAATCTTGGAGCTGTTAGCTGTCGCACAACTAACTAAAGGATAACAATTTATTCAAAAATTGAATAAACAATAGCTTATTCAAAAGCCATAGTTAAGATGACTTTTACAACAATGAACATCAATATCATATATCAATTGAAATCTTGAACTAATTATTATTCAGAATTAAGCATGAGTCGAACCTAAACGCTTGGATTCAGTCTTGACTGCTGCTTTTTTAGTTAATAAATAAAAGGATGTAGAAGTAAGTCACACGAAACGAATTTCAAGATTGACTATGATAGATGTACGCATAGTGGAATACATGATTCAATTTATGGACTCAAGGCATCCTAAAAAGTGTCAACGATGTTTTGAAGTATCCGAGTCCTGGGACTTGACTGAACGATAAGTATTTGTCTATAATTTCCCATATGTTTAAAGAAATCCTGAAGTATTTACTATAATATTAAATATTGTCCAAGTTAACTTACCGAACCCAAACTGATCGTTCAAAATACCGGACTAAAATTTGAATTCGTTTACTGTCTATTCAGAATTCAGTATCAAGTTTTTCATAGTCCACAATCTACTACTTCTCGCTTTAAGAAATAAAATTATCTACTTCATGATCTCAATTCAAGAAGTTAGCACTAATTCCACACATGTCTTATAGATAAAATTGTTAATAATAACGCGATATTTCGAGTATAAGTTCAGTTGTTTCTTCAAATAAATAAATACCTACTTTCATTTTTGTAACAGTAGAATGATAAGTTATTTCTGATTCGAAATATGTTGTTTCTAAATCTTGTTCTTCATTGGTTTTTGGTTTTTTCTTCTTCTTCTGTTCATGTCCATTTGTCGACGAAATACCATTTGCTTTACGTTTAGTTACTTCCATCTGAAATTTTTTTTTTCTTAATTTAAAAATAATATTATAATTAGAAATTTCTTCAATAATCATATACAGTACTATCATTCTTTTTGCATTGTTCTTTATCTTCATTGTTATTATTATTATATATTACATCAATAAACAAAATAAAAAAATACATGACATGATTATTATTTTTAATACATTTTGTGTTTTTACAAATACAACAATAACAGAAAAAAGAAACAAAAATTAATACATAATAATTGACAAAGAAATGATATTAATTAATCGTTTCTCCTTTTTTTTTTCTTAAAGAATACAGAAAAATACGACGTAGAAAAATATTTACAAAATGAAACTACTAAATAAATATAGAACAAAAATATATTATTTGTCACGAACTAATATTTTGCTTGATCTTTTGAGCAAGATTTCTTTCATCTAAGAAAAAAGATAGAACAGAATTGGAGTTTAAATATGTTTCATGTACGTTCTCAACGGATATAAGTTTTCGACTTCAGATTTCTAAGTAATAATAATTGCAGTTTTATTTTAATGTTTTAATCAATCTGAAACCTATACCAACAATGATCTGATGAGTTGTCGTACTATTCCGTCGGTGAATAGTGATATTTGACATAATCAACTTTCAACAAAGTTTCATTACACATCTCTGTGAGGTACTACGAGCAAAATAAAAATTAATAAGACACACCAGTAACGATGAGTCTACCGGCAGATCAACCGGTTTCATTTCTAAAATACAGTTCTAGATCAAAGTAACTGCTCTTCATAAAGTGCTACTATTCTTTACTATATTGAACGAGTATTTTGAGTGTATGCGTACGACAATAAATCCTAGTTGGAAGCGCAAAGTCGGCTTCCATCGATTCACCTGTACAGGAATTACGATTCACACAGGCTATTTCCTTTACGTACAATATATTCGCAGAAATCTGTACTAAAAAATCTTTTGCTTCTCATTTTGCTATGCTCCAAACCACTACGACTTGTTTCTAGCACTAAAGGTAGTTCAATATGTTCACCATATTGTCATCAAAGTCGATGATACATACTCAAGATAATAGTAATTAGCACGCTCGGAAATGGACAACCCATGTCGAAGTGCTAACTTGACTTTTTCCAGTTCTACGACTTTAAAAGCTTCAGATACAGCTATTCAAAGAAATGAAATAAGACTAATAACACAATCAAATCAGTGTCCAATTAAGTCGTAAATTTCAATCTCGAATATTATGTCTGATCGTCTTTGACAGTTAAATGACTTCTCTTTAATGTTACAGCCTATAGACTCTCAAGTTTATAAAATGCTAAATCATTCTTATTTGTTAAAGTTTAATATTCTTTTTTTTTGAATCAATTCTGATTCGAACTACTTTAATAAACAATTACTTGAATCTAATATCTTACCATCTTCTTTTCTATCGTCATTCATTTCTCTTTCAAGATGCATTTCATCAATAAATTCAAGATATTTTTTATAAGCTTGTTTATGAGATTCTGACATAGCATGTGATTCGAAAAGACCACGTCGTTGACATACGATAGTATCGTCATTAGATTTCAATGATGTTCCTATTGAACGTCGTTTTTTTTGACCACGTGAACCCAAGCATTTACGCCAATTTTTAATACCTAATTAATAATAGAAAAAAATTAGAATTCAATTCTAAAAGATTATATTTAAACAAACCATCACGTGAAAAAGCTCGATTTCGATTTGAATAAGCAAATAAACGACAATAAAAGCAATATGCTCGACAATTTGATAATGAATATTCAAGCCAATCTGAAAATCGTACATCATCAAACCATTTTTCGCGAAAACATATTATTCCTTTTCCATTATTTGTTGATTTTGCACTTGCTAAAAAAAGATCTTTATCATTACGTGGTTGATATGGTCCATATTGTATTAATAACCAACGAATTTCATCCGTTAAATGTTCTGATACTGCTGGATCACGATCAAATGTAATTAATGATGATGATGAATTTGATAATAAACAACGTGGATACTTTCGATGTTCTGGAGATGTTGAAATACTTGCGGAAATATTATCAGCAGACGTAGCATAAGAATCAATCATTGATAGAATATCAGCATGATATTGATCAAAACTAGGTAATGTATTATTACTATCCATACTTTAAAGAAAAATTAATAACCAAATCTTTGTCGTTATAGTCTATGATCATGTATGCATGAATCATCAAATCAATGTCAAACTAGAAATTCACTAATGCACTTAGGTTAAAGCTCATTTTTTGAAAAGTTGATATTAACAACATATAACATACATCATTAATATAGATTATTTATGATATTAAATTCTTCTGATAAACTAAAATTAGGAAGCTGGTTTTAGTGGCATCTTGCATTTGTTATGTTATCTCGCAAGAGTAAACTTTTTTGCACTCTTATATTAAAATGTCACTGTAGTGTAGCGCCGTCATTTGTATGAAACTCATCTTTCCTAAAAATAAAATATATACATGACATGAATATTCTCTGTGATTTAATACAGTTCTGTTACAATTTCTTTTTTTCTGATATTTCCACTCCATCTAGATGTCGCTTAATTAAGTGCATTCAACATTGATTTGTATTTCTTGCCGTACTTTTTATCAACCACCAAGATCATCTACAATTGTATGAAGGCAGTGAGCCTAAGTTGAGTCCATCAGTCCATACAATACCTACTTTTTGCATGTATAGCGCGGAAAATTATCAATAGTTGTCGCCAGTTATTATTTCAAAAAAATTCTAAATTATCTCTCTTCATCAGAGCTTATTCAAATTTAAGAAAAATATAGTCTCATGTCATTGTCCAATGATAAATATGCATATTAGTCTTTGATAGACAGAAATATATTTTTGGATAATTTTTTCGAAGAAATTTTTTCAAATGTTTCTTGACTTATATATGCTTTGTTTAACGGTATAATATTTTTGGTAATAAAAGAAAAGACCTTCCAATTTGTTCAAAACGACAATGTCTTGCTAGCTTCTTTATCATGTTATATAAATTAATTGAACAATAAGAATTGATAATGAAATATCATTCAAAAACGGATAGATATATGCACATGATATAGAAAAGTAACTCAAAAAAGTATTCAACCAATTACAATTTTCTCTCAACATGAGTTATAAAAGCAAAACAGTATTCTTTTTTTCTTGCTGTCGACAGATTGCTCTCACATTAATTTCTGTCTCCTATGAGAATCAATAATCTAGATCGTGACCTCGAGTTTTGAGAAAAATCGTGAAATTTACTTATTTTCTCAATTGGTGTACATCTATGAACATCCATTTGATGTCTAAATAATACGTAACAATATGCAAATGTTGAACGACTATTCTTCTATACAAAGCACTGAAAATGGTTTATAGAGATAATCATTGTTCAAAACCTTCCCCAGTAAGTCTTCATGCTCGTGTTAATAGTCTTCATGAAGAAACACTCGGATAATGGTTTTGAAAGATAGAGTGATGTTTAGAATGTTCATTGAGAATAAACAGATCATATTATCTTTTCTTTCGACAGCGCAAATCAAACAATACGAATAGTAAAAGAGAGATGCCCAAATATTTTTGTGTTTTTCAGTGACTTTATGCTGTGAACAAGTAGAACGAAGATGATTAAACAAAAAAGAGAAAATGTCGACCAATACGTTCTCAATCATTTTTCAAGGGTTGACCACTTTCCAACAGGCATCATCTCAACGAAAAGGTAATTATTGACTGATGAAAACAGTTTAATATGTATTTTTTTTCAGATAATTTAATTCTATTCAGAGAGGCAAATAAATCGTCATGCCACATCCTCCTATGAATACATTTCTGAAACTCACTAGCTCTCATTAGAGAATAGGAGAAACGAAGCGTGTGAAGATGAGGGCCATTAATTTTATCATAACAATAGAGAAGAAAACTATGATCATGTGTATGCTGGTGAAAAAAAAACGACAGAGAGAAAAGAAGTAGTCAATTAAATGAATCGAAAATGATGGTATATACGATGTGAAGAGAGAGATAAAATTCCTAGAAAGTTTTGTAACGAGCATCAGTTCACTAAAATATGAAGGACTTACTTTCAATTAGTTGAAGCATTTAATACTCTTCTATTTAAATTCAGAATTAGTCACATATAAATAATCTTAATAAAAATTTGTGATCATGATGCTGATAATAGTTACACAAAATTTATTTACATACCAAAAGAATTAAGTATTTAAAGCAATTTAAAAAAAATATTATTAACATGAAGAAATATGCCTATTGATTTGTGGTTCAGGTTCTACTATTCTGATTCACTGATTCTGTACAAGATTCAGGTTAAAAAAAGAGTCAAACCGACCTAAGGAAGTTTTTCTACAAGACAAGAGTCGTAAGTTGTTGGGTAAATTATTAACAATATGTGCTCGTCCTCTCCGAAACATCAAAAAAGATGTTTCCAACTCTTTCTTTTTGTATTTTATGAAGAAGTGAGCGTATCAGACCACAAATTAGGTCTTTGACTTTTTTCTTAATGGATCGATAGATTTCAGTACGGCAAATGGTCAAGCAATATTTTTGATATGCCTACAGAATATTCTTAAGAGAAAGTTTGAGTCTCCTTTGTAGAGCATCTTACTATCTTTGTTACAAGATTCGCGTTTCAGACCACGAGCACACATTATGTATATATACAGGCCGATCTAAGATTCGCCTAGATCAATCTCGGATCCAAGAATGTACTAGTCTAATGCTGAATGGGGAAAGAAGTTTTCATTAAAATCTCCGTAACTGTTTACATAGATGTTGGATTAGAGTTATTGTTGATGAACTGTATTTTCACAATGGTATCTCAGGTCCTGCAATCGACAATACAGAAATTAACGTAGGACTAATGCAGTTATGAATAAGTTTCTACAGAAGAACAGCTTTTACGGAAAGTTATGCATGAGTGTTTGAGTCCGGACTTAATTTTTCCATTAGTGATTGTAAGACCTGAAGTGCGTTTTTTGTCAATACAGTTCATCAATAAGAATTCCAATTCAACATCTACGTAGATAGTTACGGAGGTCTTAATGAAAATTTCTTTCCCAATCCAGAATTGGACTAGTTCATTTTTGCATCCGGGATTGGCCTACAACATATATATACGATTAATATTAATTGAAATCACGTCAGACTTCAGCAAATCTGCCTCACTATCAACAAAAATTGATTTTGTCAAGACTTGAGAAAAGTATCTGCATAGAAGATTGGTAGTTTTTCAAATTATCAATCATCTATAACTAATATGAGTAACAATTTAACCTATAGTATTTGATGAATATTTGGAGACAAGCAAAATAACTACTTGTGACGACAAACTGGGTGAGTAGCTTGCCACCACTCTCGGCAATGATGTTTATTTGCTACTTCACATATCTAGAGTGAATCTCCTTCCCATACAGCATACATATATATACGAGAGAGAAGAAGAGAGATATATGAACATAGAACGTAAGTAAAGTTAGCAGCAGATTCGACTATTTTCGTCTAATATTCGGAAGGAGTGCTGTGCCAGAAACAATATTAGTTGTGCCAGGTAGCCCATCGACTATATTATACAATGCCATAGGTTCCAAAAGTTTTTACCACGCCACTCAGCCGAAAAAAAACATACTAATTTTAAAACGCTGTTTTTACTGAAAATATCAGCATTTTCGCCTAATATTCGCTCCCATGCTTGTGCCACTCGTGAAATCACCTGTGCCAGATAGAACTCGATGAGATCTATCGATTGATACAAAATATGCAATGGTCCAAGTTAAGGATCAGGTAGAAGATGTTCACCATCTGGGAAAACCAGGCCTCGGGATTCTTGATCCGTTCTAATATGCACTCTCATGTGTATGCGATTGGCGAAATGACTTGTGCCGGATAGAATTCGATTATATCTGTCGATGAGTTATGTAGAACGGATCGACGGAGCATAACTTTTGGTGATATGGTATTTGGGATCGCTGAATTGTGGTGACCACGTGAAATACTAGTGAACGGTGATTTTGTGATTTACGAGTGTAGAATTTCGTTTGCTGTGCATTGAGGTTGGAAAGCTTTTTTTGGTGACGAGTTTATGATCTTGGATTGCTTTGCTCATCTGTACGCGCTAGTTGTTTTGGTTCGGCGTAGCCTGCTAGCGGAGTCATCATGCTTGTTACTATGTCGAATTTCACTATGGTCATTTTCTGAGATGAATGATGGTCGGTTTTTGTCTTCAGGAACTATTCCTTAGAAGCGGTGTTGGTGTAAAAATAGATCATCGCATGAAGATTGATCATCAGAAAATATTTAATAGGATTGTTATGGTAACATTGATTTTCATAGAAGGAGAATAGATGGAAAGTTTGATTTTTTAGTGTAGCGCGAAGAACGAATATTGTGTTCATTTTCAAGTGAAGGTTGTCGGGTAAAAGTTGTAGGGATCCTATTGATTTTGGATAGGTGGCGTAGTGGTAATTGTATTTTGTCGTATCGGCCCTTGTAAAGCTCACTTCTGGATTAAACAACGGATATGGTCAGAATGACCTAAAAGTCCCTGACTTTATCATGGTTCATCAGTGGTATGATTCGTAACAATAGATAGCGATTGTCTTCTTAATTGGCGATTTTTTCAGGTTTTTCATAAACACTCGTACTTTCAAGTAATTACAGAACGGCATTGAAAATGACACCACAATACAAGAATGTAATATCTTTTCATTGATTCAAATGACTTAGTGACTTTTTGGTTCGTAGTGCAAGCTCGTTCAAACTTTTTTTATGAATAAAGTAAGTAAATGATACACCTTAGTATTGTCGGTGATATCATGAAAGTAATTGTAGCTGTTGTTACGCAAAAAGTATCCATATAGACCATTTCGTGTATAATATATGGTTGTTATTTGAGAGAATAATAAGAACAAAATTTTCTATTATTTTGTCAGATGACAACTGAAAATTATCTATGAAATGGTACACAAATGTTTTATACTTAATAACAGCTAAAATTGATTTTTTGGCGGCATCGATAATCCTTAAGTGTAGCAATCAGTTATTTTATTCATTTGAAAACTTTCAGTGAGCTTTTACTCTCAATCAAAACGTCATTCATTTAGTTGAATAGATGGTGAAATATTTCATTCTTCTATTGCAATATTATTTTTGGGTCATCCTGTAATAATTCAGATGATTCGATGTTTTTCAATATCTGGATGCAGTATTATGGTTACATCTTCACATGTATACCACTGTTGAATAAATGAAGAGAGAGATTAGTTATTTCTCTTCATCTGCAATGAATAGTGCAAGACATATTTAATAATAATATGTATACTTGTCATTTTATTGTTGGGACTGATCTAAATAAAAGAAAAAAGTTATAAGAGGATACTAGCTGTTCAATTTCATGATCATATTACCTAAAACGAGAAGTTATTATTAAAAGGTAATGCTTACTTCTCATTGAAATGAACGAATGATCCAAATAAAAAGAAGTTCAATGTAATAATACTTAATTCTTGATTCAGATAATTTGATGATTTAAATGCAAAAAAGAATTATAACCTTATAACAATATTCAATGTTTATTTTTATGATCAGATGCTCTAAATAGAGCAAAAAAACAATTTCTCTTGTAAATTAATACTAATAGTTCACTGAGACGATGAGATTATTAGATGAACTAAATTGAAAAAATAAGTTATTGTTATTAAAAAAAAATACGAACTGTTTACTTCAATGATTAGTTGATCTATGGACAAAGAAGAAATTATTTTTATGAGATGACACTTACTTTTGATTGAAATGATCAGATGTTATAAATAAAAGAAAATAAACTTCCAACATAATTATACTTACTGTCCGATGAGATGATTATATGATTTATTTTAACAGAAAGATAAATGTTTTTATAAAAATTACTCATATTATTAGTGTACGATCAAATGATCTGAATAAAAAACGTTTTTTTTCATAAAATAATACTTGCTATTCACTTAGATGGCCTCATGATCTAAACAGAAGAAAACAATATTTATTTTTATATAATCATGCTTACTATTGATGTTTGTTGGAAAATCACCGATTCATCGCGATTAATTCACGATCGATCGTCAATTTTTTTTGGTTAAAATCACGATTAATCAAAGAAAGTGACACGATTTTGATGGCATTGGAATATCTCGAAAAGTTTACGTTCGTTTAGCATGTGTCGAACGTGCTTCATTTATGATTTGGAATGGTGCTGATGGAAAATACATCGTGCTTCTTTTGGTCGTTCATGGAATCGAAAGGGTAGAGAGTTTGAAATCACAAAACGCTTTAAAGTTATGAGTTTGGAAGATTATGCTATTTCAAGATTGCCAGTTACAACTGGAGTTTAAAAATCTCATTGGAAAATTATTCTTAGTTAATATTTATACTTACAAATCAGTTAGTGTTCGAAATGATTGGAGAAAATATATTGGCTTTCTGAAAGAATCACTGTTTCTGTTACATTTCGAACGGTTTTTATGGTAAAAACTATTTTATCAATAATGTTACTATGTAGTGCCCATGGAAAGTGGAATTGGTACTTTTACATTGGTAGTCACATAAAACTAGTTTGAAAGACAACAATTGTCACGAGTTCCTAGTATTTCTTGTAGGGTCAAATGGTACTGTTTAAATTCTGTCTATAATCGTCCACTCGATCGATATCAGCCAAGTCAGTGTGAGAATATATTCGGTTTCTCAACAACAATTTTGTTGAACGGCCGTGATATTTGGATGATTAGTTTGGTGTAATATCAAAGCAAACGCTAAGTTTTTGTTCTTTAATTTTGATAACACTTTCTCGGTACTGTGGAGCTGTGACTTTCGGGTGAAAGACAAATTTATAATTACGGAGCATTTTCTGCTTTTATGTATTTGAGACACTGAAACAATGTTTTGTCTATTTAGTGAATAAAAAACGGTGTGCAATATTATCCGTTATTCATCTCTTCATCTTTAGGAATACTTTTTACTTGTCTTGCGTTTCTTAACAGGCAGCCGGTAGATATTTCTCTCAATTTTTTCCTTTGTGAAAAGCTTGTGCTTATTTTATTCGTTCATGAAATTCTATCACACTATCTTGCTCAATATTTACTCACTGTTCGAAGAAATATTATTCCGATCAGGTTACAAAAAACAGTAGCATAGTTTTTTTTATTAAATAGACTTTTTTGAATCATAATCAGGAGCGAAACAAGCACTTTATAGATTATTTATTACTGTTGTGCACCGAACCGATACATACTTTTTATGTTTTATTTACTTTTATATCATTTTCAATTTTTTAATTTTTATTTTAGTTTAACATAAAATATCTTATAGCAACTATTGAACATCGAAACTGAAAATGAATGAATACACTAGTCTTTTTTTTGAAACTATACTTTATGCGTTTGTAGAATAGTCAATTTTTGAAACTTCTAAATTTTTAAGTCTCAATTGATCTTGATAATATTGATGCAGATTGACGTCTTGCACTTGTTGTGATTGTTGATTACAATGATACAAAGATGATTTGAACGCTAAAGAGCGATGGAGAAAACGAACTCAATCAAGTTCACTAACTGCAAAGCGTCGTGGACGGTACTTCAACAAAAATCAAAATTTTATAGGACAAAACAATAAAAGCCGGTATGTTTATTTTTATCAGAATATATTAATGCTTACTTACTAAACCATAAATTTTAGGTGGGCCAAAACCGTTTCTGTTTCCAACCTATCCTGTCAAACAACAACAACGACAAAAGCGCCAGCAACTACAGAATCTAACACTCATTCACCAAGACCTCTGAACGTACAATTAATAGTTTCAAGTTAAGCTAATTATCCAACAGAGGTCCAAACAGGCCACGTTTTTTAGGCCTGCACGGCGTGTCAGGGCCTGTCATTTTCACTAGTCTGAAAACCATGGATGATGCCTATGACAGGTGGGTCAGGATCGGGTTCAGCAATAGACCTCGTACTCTGTGTGGACCTATGATTTCTAGTCTCTCATCATTATTGTACTCACTCGAAAAGCTTGACAGGCCGTAAAGGCCTAAAAAACGTGGCCTGTTTAGACCTCTGCGACAAAACCTGCATTCCATTAGTTTTAAAAATACTCGAAGATATTATCTCATATGTCACTACGAATTCTTCAGAAATAGATTAATCAATTTTACACTGAAATAAAGCTTATTTTTAAGCTTCATTGGAGTACTGATTTATTTATAGCATTTCAATAGTACTGAATTTTAAAAAAAGTATAATTTCAAAGTAGTCATAATATAGCATATACATTAGAAAGCAGGCAATGAATGAAGAAAATAATGTTATTCTGCCTTCAGGGGTACACAAACCAAACTCAGTTTTTTTCTTCAGCAAGGGCACATTAATTCCTTGAAATTTAATTATTTTCATTTGCATTAATCATAGATGTTGGTCATATTAAATTGTAGGTTTTCATGAACAAAGCCTTCGATCAATTCTTATGATTCATTCAATCCGGAAATATCACCGATGAAAGTTGAGCCACGTTCAATAACAAAGTCTGTTAAATTTGATGACAATTTAAACGATAATATCGATACGTCTCCTTCTAATTTAAAACAAACTGAATCAATATGGTCTATATTGTTAAATGATTCAGATAATCGTACATTATTTGACGAAAAATCGGATAAAGTTGTCAATCGCTATTCTCAACAGTTTGCAACTGAAGATAATATATTCAATGTACTTTCTCCTAAACGTCTATATTCGACGTCAATTTCTAATGATTCATGTAAAGCAACTCCTACATTTTCAAAATGAGTAAAAACTATGTCATTACTCATATATCAAAACTTATCGAAACATTCAGCACATACCACAAAAATTGGTTCCGTTTCACTCCCATGGTCACCATATAAAATATCTGATACCATATATATGGAGAAAAAATATACTGTAATCAACACATGCTCTATTGATTCCACGCTCTTCGTATTTTATCATTCATATAAGATAAGTAGTTCTGAGTTTCGAAAATTGTTTGAAGTCGATACTACTAAATGTCATATTGCTCTGCGTAAATTATTCAAATTAATTGACACTGATGGATGGAATATAGCACGCTTGCTTTGGCTATTATTCAATGATTTGCTTAATAAAACTAATGCAATTGGAGAATTCGATATAGAAAATACACTTTATGAGAACATGTTTTAATTTCTACGCCCAATACAAACGTACAATATTAAATCAGAATGCTCCTGTGTTATCTGCCACAGGCGCACTCGAGAAAGCAAAAGTATGGATATATCATTATCGTAAGTTCTATATCTTTAACATTTTTAGTGAAAAATAAAGTCTATCTTCAAGTTTAATCGAACTCTATTCATTATCGATTTTCAATTTAAATATAAGCGTCAATAATTTTTGCCACTATATTGAATACATTTTTCAAAATTTGAAAAGAAATTCCGTTTTTCAACTTTTTTTATCTACTCATTCCATTTTTCATATGAGACAACAAAAAGATCAATTATGCTACAGGTTCATAAGAGCATTCAGTGCTTCTTATCATGTTAACACTGATGATCTAGCCATCATGAGTCAGAATGAACAAGTTAATAATTTGATAACAATATTCTAAGTGAAATATGAGACATAAGTTATTGGTTAAGATATTTAAATAAAACCAACTTATGTCCATAAAATCCTCTGTAACCTTTTGCTGGATTCACAATCAATGAGCAGCATCGCATAGAATATGGTTACAACATTAACATGCACTGATTATTTTGAGTGTTTTCGAGAACGAAGTTTAGAATATTAAAGTACTCCTTGTTTGTTCGACATATTCATCGGACTATTGATATAAATACCTCATCTCAGATATTACTTGCAACTAACTTGTTTCTACAGTACATCATAACAACTAATATTTGAATAATGACAGTTTAAGTATGCGATATTTAATTTAACTGCTTTTTTTTTCAATTCATCGTACAAATGAAGCTTGCTGAGATGAATCGTAGTCATCATTATACGATTATCGAAGTTAATAGCATTGACTGAAACCTCTGAAGATGCATTGAAAACATGATAGTTATTGTCATCTGCTATTTCTTTGCTCGTTTTCTTCTAAATAGTAATTCGCCTCTTCTGCATCATGTATTTAACCCTTTCCGTCATACCCACCTTTTTCTTTTCATCGTGTCGTATATGTTTTTCCATGCAACCATGTGTAATTTCCTTTTCTGTCGTCTGATAGATTTTGTCTTTGATTTTCATGACAAGTTTTTTCCTAAAAGTATTTGGATCTTATTATATTCTCAGCATTATTCAACAATCCATATTCAGTTGAGAATGAATCATAATAAATCAGTGTGCATAAATTTGATACAGTTAAATGTGAATATGGTACGATAAAAAGAATTCTTTTTCAGCTGCAATAGCTCCGAATTAAGAGGTAAATGACAAAATAGAAGGGAATGCGAAAAGAAATAAAAGATGACAATAACTAATTCCAATACTTCTACATAAATCAATGGTAAATGGTTATTTTAAAAAAGGATTGCTTCGCATGCTTCATCATAACACTTATCTATTTTTTTTATAATTCTGATAATAAATTATATTGAATTGAGTTTTAATAGGTGTATTGAAAGCATTCCTCTCACATAGTTATCAATCATCTAAACGAAAATCGACTAAAAGAAAAACCCAAGAAATGCTTGTTTTCTTTCATCTTTTGTTTCTAAAAATTTCGAAATATGACTTAAACATGTTAACATACTACTATCGTTCATGCAATACTGATAAAAAACTAATTGTTGGAATATTATGGATAATTCTTGAAAATTTCTTTCCAGATTCATGTCCGATTCAGTACGCGTCCTTGCAGGCTAGGATCTATGACATTTTTCATCAAAACATTTAACTTATTTCAGCCTACCAGTTTTTTTAAAGATAACTGGACCACTAGCCATGTCACTTTGAACGACTCATTCGATTCATAATTGGTGAATTGTGGGCCATCCTTTTATGCGACACAAGCGTGTCGGAATTATGATAACAAATGCATAATCATAAAATAAAAGGAAATCGTTCTTAGAAAAACAACTGGTTATTTGAACAGGTTCTCGAAAAAAAGAACATGTTCATAGAAGTATGAGTGATTCCGGGTCTCTCCGTGATTCGTCGTTTTCTTCTAATGAAACTAATATCGCTCAAGTAAGTGTATACACACCGAACTACCGGAGTCTGACAGATTTTTTCTGATGAAAAAATAACTGTGACCCTAACGAATATAATTTCAATTGATACTTGGCAAATATCTCATACGTAGTGTTCAAAAACTTTATTAAGAAAATAAATCTCTTCAAATAATATAGAGAAGTGAACGGTGTGTACCTAACAATCATCGACAGCTTCTCATCCGAGCAAATTGGTTCATGTGGTGCCAACCTTGGAGAAATCGAGCCGCCTGCTTATCCTGCTGCTGTGAGCTGGGACGGTCACTTTCCGGTAATCGACGTTCAAACTGGTATTAGCACAAAAGGATAAGTAGGCTCGCACTAAAAAGATTATTTTCTTTCAAAATTTAACTCTATTCAATTAACAGAACCCGATATATTTGCGACGTCATTTGCACAACATTTCTATCAACTTTCGACAATACACCACCCTTTCTCGTTTTCAATGTCGGCACCAATAACTCGACTGCAGTAGATTTATCCAGATCTATAAATATTGGCAACTATATGTCAGTAAAGATATATATAAACATCTCCTATATTTTCTGAATAATGTATCTTTCTCTTTAGTTATGATTTTGCAGCTGGTCTCGCTAATACTGGTAATCACTTTGTCGCAATTATAAAAACCAACACCAACCAATATGTTATCTTCGACGACACACACTGTGCTGGCATTCGTTCTTATTATGAGATCGAAAAGTATGACTTCGCTGTCTATCAACTACGAATTTGACTTCAAATAACTCGTGGTTGCAAACATAATTTAAAAACTGATTTTTCTGCCTCAAGTTGTTCTTTCTTTCCACAAATAAAAAAAGCACTTAAAAAAATTTGTATGAATAAAGATAGATACCTTATACTATTCAAATAAAATTATATTTTCATTCAACCTCAGTATTACACACTACTATCGAGCGCACCATATACCAGCACATCTATAAAGAAAACAAAAATGCCATGACAACTCAAACCGAGTACATCAACAAACCACGGAAAAAATAAGGTTTCAACTCATAACAATATTGTTCCTATCTTTGTTCATCGAGAAAAAAAATGCCACGTAATACACAGGTAACATAAACAAACCTACAATTAATGACTACAACGAATATCTTTGAAGTATCCAAAACAAGACGAAACATTCATCCGCAAAATTGCACCTTCCACAGTCTATCCGAGTCTACCTAATTGCTACACAGCACCAAAATCTATTATCACAGGCTTCTAAAAACCAGCAAACTCCACCAGTGCTGCTACAATAATTCAAATGTAACCAAGATCAGCAAGAGATCCACGGAGCATTTTCTGATGTTCCCTATTTTTTTTCAGAGAATCTTCCAGGCCTTGTCAGTTACCAGCCGATAGATCTCATCGAGTTCTATCTGGCACAAGTGGTTTCACGACTGGCACAAGCTTGGGCGTGAATATTAGGCGAAAACACTAATATTTTCACTAATAACAGCGCTTTAAAATTAGTATTTTTTATTTTCCGGCTGAGTGACGTGATAATAACTTTTGGCACCTATGGCATTGTATAGTATATTCGATGGGCTACCTGGCACAACTAATATTTTTTCTGGCGCAGCGCTCGTTCCAAATATTAGGTGGAAATACTCGAATCTGCTGCTAACTTTACTTGCTTCCGACGAACTTATTGTCGGTTGAACTGTATAGCTATGAGTAGTTGCATTTCTCGAGCGTACAGTAGCAAGCGTTGTCTTCTCGCCTCGATGAGACAATGTTTGGGTTGAGGGAAATTCGAGCTGAAGTCTTGACTGATCTGTATTCAAAACGAAATCTTCATTTTAATGAGCCAATAATGATTTAACTTGCGTGACAAATTGTTCAGCTGACCTATTAATTTCAATCTCATCGATTAATTCACGTTTTATAACTACCTGGAAAAGAAAAACAGCATTCTAATACTAATATATAATTTTATACATCCGTATGCTGGCTACAAATCAGGACCTAACCTTTATAATTTTTCTTGAACAAATAATATGCTTGTGCTTAAAATTTAAGATCTAATGATCTGATGCCACAAAATCGTGCAACGAGATCATTCCAGCTTTTCGTATGGTCCAGCGTTTTAAGTCTATATCGTGAACTGGACACAGAAGATTTCGGACGCGCTCGAACTTGTCATAAACATAATCATCTAATAAAACGATTTTTTGTTTCTTCGTACTTCCATGTTCGACATAATTTCGAAAATGCACCATATACGATTGATAAGTAATTCGTTTAAATTTGTTTTGGACGCTTTTCCATATGTGCGATCGTTTTCCAGTTTTTGGATTTATTGCATCATAATAAGCAAGTGCTTGTTTCATGTACGATAAAGAAAATGACTCAAACACCGATTTCTCTTCATCTTTTTCTTCATAATATGGATCATCAGATGGTTCATCAGGTTCGTCTTCGCACTCATCTGTTTCATTGTCTGATGTACTTAGGGCATACCCAAAGTAGCCAGAGTGACACTTTAATACCGTATAGTAAACTTAAAGAAACTTTCTCTCTATATAGTCTGATAGAGAAAAAAAGCTCTATCTTTCTATGCTATTTGATCATACTTCAACTAATATCATAATAATAGAATTTCAATAAGATCTGTCTTTCTATCATATGTGACGGTTACACCAATTCGAGTGTATATTTTTCGAATAACTTTTGATAGAAACAAAATAGAGAGCTGAGGTTTTCACCGTTGGAAAGCGGAGATGAAGACCCATCGAATTGCATATTATATATTTTGGGTGTGGGTGTGGGTGTGTGAATGTGGCTGGGTGTGTGGGTATGATTAATAGAAGAACTTCACCCACACCCAACACCTACCCACACACCCACACCCGCTATGAGAATGTGTAAATAGGTAGGCAAGTATTTCAATAGCTGTGAAGGTTTGTTTAAATAGAAAAATGTTTAATTAAAAAGTGTCTCGTTTGAAAAGCTATGGATGCAAAGAAATAAGAAACGTTGAATGAAATATTTATAGGTTAATTTGCTGACTTCTACACATTGAAGAAATGAAGAAAATGATATCCAATTTTGTTTACTCTATTAGAAAAAATTACATCCAAAGGAATAAGAAAATACAAAAAAAACATATTAATTGCCTTTAGCTTTGTCTTTGATCACCCACGTTTCAACTTCAGTTTGTTGTAATAAAAGATTTCCATTTCCTGTGCAGGTTTTGGTCATTGTTGATGTTTTATAGGCACCTGCTTCAGTGGTTGTTTTTGAACAATGAGATAAATTATTACCCGTTTTTAATCGTTTATACAAATCTAATGAATGGAATTGTTCATTGATGAGACATGCATATAAATCAATTTCGGGTTCAACTAATTTAATTACTGATTCGAAATCATTGCTAGCAGTATTTAATGTAGTATTATTACGAAAAGAAGACTTTATTTGACTGGAATCTTGATGAATTTTTGCATTTTGATCTTTTGATATTCGAGTTTGCATTCGTTCAGATATAGGATTAACAAGAATTTTAAAGTGGTCAAGACGTTGGTCTCTAAATAAATACAAATAGATATAAAATGTTTCATTTTATAAAAATTTACGGCCCCCCCCCCCCCACTCAAAAATCGATTTCGGCTCCGGTACATGCAAATTGCATGAAATTTTCAGGATATGTTAGGGTTATAGTGGAGAAGCTATGGTAAAAATTTCAGCCGTATATCATGACGTTTAAGGGAGATATTCACCAAACAAGGGTCAAAAATAGCTCATCTCGGGACATAAATTTCTCGGTCCCAGCTCGTGCTATATGCTTAATTTTTTTTTTGTT